TCCCAACCTTCTCGGTGCCATACACAGTTAAAGATGCAGCAACCTGAGTGAGAGAAAAAGATGGTTGCTACTTGAGTAAGGCATGATGACGTTTGAAGGAATGTACATTCAGGAAGAAGAGGAAAGAGATTTCTGAGATTCAGCCCTTCTGCAGAAGGCGATGCTTTGAGCTCCAACATCTGAAACAACCATCCAAAACAAACAGCTCATGAAGGAAGGGGGCTCTGTGTTTCACAGGCATAAAGATGTAACGTCAGATATGTTTGCATGGATGCTTACATTTTATTTACTTTCTCCTCTATGATCCCATAAAACCTGGTACATATTTTTGATATCGTACTGAGAACACTACACTGTAACTGGGTCATATAGTTTTTATCTGTCTAACCTATTATGCTATGAGATCCAATGTGTTTATCCCAAACACCTAGCACAAAGTTTATCACTTTTTAAACATTTTATGAGTTTATTTTTTAAGCAGGTGAATGAAAGAATAATCACAGTAAAAGACACATTATGTTCCTTTGTTATCTCTTTCTTTCTAGGGGGAAGGAGAATAATAAAATTAGGCATAGAGAATGTCCCATCCTTTCATACGGCTTCATCTTATCATATAACACTCTCAAATGCACTGCATGTCTGACAGAGGGCACATGAGAGCAAATGTTTCCTATATGGTCTAATTAGCAAGAAAAATGCCTAGTTGGTGAAGGAGTTGCCTAAATTTTGTCAAAACCCTCATGACCATTTATCTCTCAGAAGTGAGAAACTGCCTTCCTTAGCAGATGTGTAAACTCCTCATTTGTGCCAGCTGGACTCATTTCAGATTTTATTTTGACGGGGCTTAAACTAACAGACAGGAAGAGCTGTCTTTGCTTATTAAGCAGTTATCAGTGTAACTCCTTAAATGACTATGTTATATGATATGTATCCCCAAATCATTGGGCTAAATTAAATGTTGTCATTCACTTGTGAAACCAAACATGCCACCTCTCTCCAAGGTGTTTGACAGAGAGGAATGCCATCTGCCTCAATCCCTTCTTTAAGTTCTTGGTAATCTACCAAGACTGTGGGGCTCTCAGATGATAGGGCAATGATTCTCAAGGCTTGGGAATGCTAGGGGCTAACATGTTCGAAATCAAGTTTATATCCATTTGCTGTGGAGTCCAGGGGCTGTGAGAAAGATCAAAGGTAGAGCTCTGACATGTGCAAAGGGATTTCTGGACTCATTGTAGCTTTTGTGATGTTTAATTCTGGAATTTTGTGTTCTACTCTAGGGTCTTGGTATGGTAGGAAGAGCATTGGCAACCCAGGTGTGTTAGAAAGAGCACAGGATTGAGAATCAAGAACTGTGGGTTCCAGTCTCAGCTCTGACAACAACCATGGTGGGTAAACACAAGCAGACATTTTATCTTACTAGGTCTCAGTTCATATCTCTGTAAAATTGGTATGCTTACAGTTCCATTCATCCTTCAAATTATAAGAATTTCATGCCTTATTTTACAGAACTTTAAAATATTTGAGACTCAGACTTTAGCCACAGCCACTAAACTGTCACTTGGTATAGCAATGACAAGTCAATCTGGATGACTGTTTTGTTTTTCCCAGTTGCCTCCAGCTGTGCACTTCCTGTTGACATTGGAGAAAGAAATTATTTTCCTTTTGAGGTAACCTTTTGGCCTATATGCTGGTATAAGGAGATAAAAGTGCTATGACACCCCTCTGGAGGCTAGTCACTTTGTCCCTTCCAGAACATCCTAAGTATAAATTCAGTAATGTTAAAGTAGTTCCCAGGAAATTTAGATTCCCTTTATATCAGAAGATATCTTTTTCATGGATATAAAAACACTCAAGTGTTCTGCAATTAAGAGGAATAATTTTTTCCCTAATATCCTGGCTTGACAATATCAAACTTCTAATTATCCCATTTGTTCAACTCTCCCTCCTCCCTCAGAGGTGATAAAGGTGTAAGATGCATCATATTTGGCATGGAAAAAGAGAATGAAACTAACATTTCCAGAGCACTTCTCTGGTTACTGATTCCAACCGTGTATACAGACTACACCACAAAAAGGTGAGAGGCCTGTTTGTTTGCCCACAGCAGCCCTGAGTGGATTGAGTATTCTGCTCTGGCCGAAAGCACCCTGAAGCTCATTTCTCTAGAAGAGATACCACAAAGTGCTGTCTGATTGACATGACTCCTCCCTAGGTACAGAGGTAGTCTCTGTGCTCAGCCAAAGAGAAGAGCTGATGGGAGCAAGGCCATGGGTTTCAGTCCTACAAGGCCAGTTCACGTTGCTGTGTTTCCCGCTGGGATTTAACGCTCATATCAAAATCTTGTTCCAAACCTCTCAATGCAAACTGGGATATGGAATGATCTTGATGGACTGATTCTGTGCCATCAGATAGGGGCTGAAACAATCCCTTTGAGAGTATAGGCACTTTCCACTTAATTCTCATAATACATCTGTGAGGTAGAGTCATTAGGTCTTGTTAGAGAAGGAAACTGAGACTCAGAGACTTTTAAGTAACTTATAAAGGAGCAAGGAATAAAACCCAGGTCTTCTCTGACTCCCAGGTCTATTTCCCCATTGTACCATTCAATTGCTCTAAATATCTGCCCTAATTTAAAAGGTTCATCTTTTTATACGATCAAAAGATGACCAAAGAGCATCCATCAGCTGAGACCAAAGAAGAAAGAATTGAAAGTAGTCAATGCTGGATAGCAGTTGTGACTCAGTCCCTGAATTTTATTTTAGTCCAGTTTAGAGGTACATGTAATCATATTCAGAAGTGTGGGAGTAGGTAAATTTGAAGGTAAGTCTTTCCTGAACATGATCCTGGCTAAATGTTTTGTAAAATTTCCCTTCCCTGATATTTGGAAGGATTGGGAGGAGCTAATCTGTTCTATTCTGAATGTGTTAGTCAGCTAGCTTACACTTGCTCTGGCTCCAGAGAACTGATTATACACATCTCTTCCCAAATTTATACTCAGTGATTCTGTGGTGGCCGTTTGAAATTGGCCTTCGTGGGAGGATTTATACCGTGGAAATCAGTGAAATATACAAACCATCACCCCTCCCTCCCCCTCCGTTTATGCCCTTCTGTAGAACTGGTAGTTAAACATTTACCCTTGTATCCCTGACTTTCAGTCTTAATCATAGATGTCTGGTAATCTAAGCTGATGGCATTTCCAGATCAGGCTACTTTTCCCAGGAATATGATTGTGTAGCATGACATCAGGATGATTGAAAACCAGCACAAGGGATATAATGTGCAAAATACCCAAGACTATCCCACCGTGAGCAAGTGTCCTGTACTTTTCAGGGCTTCCCAGAAACATGGAAAAGAACTCCTGTAAACTCCCCTCAGTATTGTCTGGAGAAGTCAAGAATAATTATTCACTTGAGAATGTTGACTAGAACAAGAGGAAAGGGGGAGAAGGGGAAAACACATTTATCAAAAAACCTTATTAAAATGTTCTTTAAACATATCTTTACTATGTCATGTAAACTTTCAGTGCAATTTTTTTGTAAAAGAAAAAGTAGGTCACAGACTAATATGTCAAAGGCACAATGAACTTTAATAGCTGTATTGACATTAGGAAATATGTGAGAAGGGGCTGATCTGGTCCAAGCCTCAGGAGCCCCCAAGGCCATTTCTCTGGACTTTCATACATAGCTATGACCCTCCTACCTGCCTGGTGGGGGTGTAAAATGGTGCAGTCACTTTGGAAAATTGGCAGTTTCTGCAAATATTTCTAAGTATCCTATCCAAGAGTAATACAAATTGCATGTGCACACAAAGCAGCTTTATTCATAAGAGCTCCAAACTAGAAACAACACAAACGTCCAGTAAGAGGACCTTTGTGGTATATATATTCATGTTAGAATATTACTCAGGGATTAAAAGGAACAAACTACTGATACATGCAATGACACCGGTGTATCTCAAAAACAGTAGTTGGAAAGAAGTACTACACTGTGCATACTCTATGATTCCATCTATATGAAATTCAAGATCAGGCAAAACTAATCTACAGTGATAGAAATCTGAAGAGTGGTTGCCGCTAGCCCGAAGATGGAAGGACTGACTTTGGAAAGGGTCCGAGGGAACTTTCTGTGATGATGGAAATGTTTTAATTCTTTTTTTTTTTGAGACAGAGTCTCACTTTGTTGCTCAGGCTAGAGTGAGTGCCCTGGTGTCAGCCTAGCTCACAGCAACCTCAAACTCCTGGGCTCAAGCAATCCTCCTGCCTCAGCCTCCCGAGTAGCTGGGGCTACAGGCGTGTGCCACTATGCCCAGCTAATTTTTTCTATATATATTAGTTGGGCAATTAATTTCTTTCTATTTATAGTAGAGACGGGGTCTCGCTCTTGCTCAGGCTGGTTTCGAACTCCTGACCTCAAGCAATCCGCCCGCCTCGGCCTCCCAGAGTGCTAGGATTACAGGCTTGAGCCACAGCGCCCGGCCTGTTCTAATTCTTGATTGGAGTGGTTGCTCTCCAGTTGTTAAATTTCATCAAACTGTACACTTAATATATGTTATAAACCTTTTATTAAATGTAAAGTAGAACTCGATGGAGATATATATGTCTACATAAAAACACATTTAACTTTCTGATGTAACCTAAGGGGTCTATTGCAAAGAACCTGGCTCCCCTCCGACCCCTGACTTTCACACTTTCTCCTGGCCCTTCGAACACGTGGACTTCATGCGTTCAAGTTGCGGATTGGGGCTTCTTCCTTGTTCTGTCATCCCGCAGGTCATTTCCCCCTAGCTCGCGGACTTCCCATCACTGACACTAACGCTCCATCTGGGCATCCCCGCCGGGCTGCAGGAGAAAGTTTGGGAGGCCAAGTTCAACTTTTCAACTCGGAGGGGAATTCCTCCGCCCGGGGGTCACAGCCTCAGCCTGTGAATCAGCCGGCCCTGCATGCAGACTCCGCCCCCGGCCGGCGGGGGTCGGCGGGACGCTCGCCCCACTTAAGCGAGGCCCCCTGCGCGCCGGCACCCAGTCGGCCCCGAGGCAGGAGCCGCGCACCCTCCTCCCGCCCGCCCCGCGCGATCTCGGGACGCCTCGCCCCGCGGGCCGCCGCTCCTGCGCCATGGACCCTGCTCGGCCGCTGGGGCTGCTGCTCCTGCCGCTGCTCCTGAACTGGGCCGCGCCGGGCGCTGCCGCTCAGGCGCCCACAGGTACCCGGCCAGTCCAGGAGCCTCCCTTTGCCCCGCGCCTCCTCCGGGCCAGGCCTCCCGGGCCCTGCACCCGCTCTCTCCGCTCCGCTCTCCCCAGTGCCACGCGCGCCCCGCTCCCGCCCAAGTTTGCACCTTCTCTCTCTGCAGAGGCCGCCCCGCTGCTCGGGAAGCGGCGGGGACAGAACCCCCCGGGATGCCTCTCCCTCCTAGGAGGTAGATCTGAACTCTTTCCCGCCTCTTTCGCTACTCTCCCTCTGTCCCTCCCGTAGGAAATAACGCGGAGATCTGCCTCCTGCCCCTGGACGAAGGGCCCTGCCGGGCCCAGGTGCCCAGTTACTACTACGACAGGTACACGCAGAGCTGCCGCCAGTTCATGTACGGGGGTTGCGAGGGCAACGCCAACAATTTCGAGACCTGGGAGGCCTGTGATGACGCTTGCTGGAGGATAGACAGTAAGTGCTCGCACGCACGGCGGGCTGAGCTTTGCACGGAAGGCTGGCGGGAGTAACTTAGCTGGCTTTCCAGACGTTGCTTTCCAAAGTTTTAGCTTGAATTTTCTCAAGAACTAACCAAGCCCCAATGGTTTTCAGTTTCTCTAACGTAATCACGAGAGTACAACCACTTACACATTTTCTCTCTCCTGACATTTATCGTAGTTCAATGGCCATGTGGACTCAGGGGAAGATTTGTTACTTCACCATAGGGTATAATAAATGCAAGGGAATAATCTACTAAGTGTAGCATAAGTGTTTTCCTACATTTATCATTAGTTCCAAACCTATGTTTTGTTTAGTTTTTTAATCTTTCCTTGAGGACACCATTTTCTCCTGTCGGTTTGCAATGTGAAATATTTTTTAGTGTGATTTTATTATTAACGTGTGATTTAGCTAATTGTATAACTTTACTTTTGTTCCCTGATATCCAAACATATCTTGGGTTTGTTTAGAAATATGGTGGAGATTCACAATGCTGTGTTCTATTTTACTTAATTTTTAATTTTTTATTATATTTGTTAAGGCCTGTAACAGAACACAGGGCTTTGCCATTCAAGGAACTCAGTCGGAGGGAAGTGTGTGTTCATGTAAATAAGCTTTGATTGACTTCATATGTACAAACAACCAGAAAACACCATGAGACAACACAGTCTTTCCACTAAACTTGAAAGATATGTCACATCTGAGTCAGATCTGGATACACTTTGTTTGAAATAACAAAAAGCTAAATCACCATATTAGTGGGCATTCTTTTGGGGATTTACTATTCCAGCACTAAATACTATGACTTTTTTCCCTAGTTGTTTCCGAAAATACAGAGAAGTTTTTGAAAGTCATACTTAGAAAGCTACTTTTGACTAACACTGCTTTATTGTCTTTCTTTCCCTAGAAGTTCCCAAAGTTTGCAGGTTGGAAGTCAGTGAGAACCGGTGTGGGGAATCCATAGAAGAGTATTTCTTCAATCTAACTTCCATGACATGTGAAAAATTCTTATTTGGTGGATGTCAACCAAATGAGAACCGGTTTCCAGATGAAACTACTTGTATGAGCTTCTGTGCACCAAAGAAAAGTAAATATAGTATTTCTATTTCATTTCTTTATTAAGATTTTTGGGTGAAAAAATTCAATTTGATGTGAAATTAACATGATTTGCATTGTCATGATTTTGCATGTGAAAGGATATCATTCTTTACAGTTACCCTGCAAGGGAGTATTATGTCTCATTTTTAATTGTAAGGATACAAACAAGGAAAAGTTAATGACTTGCTAAGTTCTCAGGGCTGAAAAATGACAAAGCCATAATTAAAATGTTTGCTCTCTCTTCTGCATTGCTTCTTTAGAACTATTTCTCATTTACTCAATTTACACATAAAAAAATTACAGTATTCATTAATGGATGTGATGACATCAGATTTGTACAGAATCAGTTATACAAATGAGATAATGGAATATTTAAAGAATTAAGATGGTGAAACTTGAATATTTCTAAAGTGTTTGGTTAGATTTCTGTTTACTTTAGTAATTTCAAACTGCAGCACAAATTCCTTTTCTCGCTTCTCCATTTGTTACCTATCCCATCACCAAATTGCGTCCTTGAAATGATGGGTTACTTGCATAGTATTTAATATTTCTGGAGAAAGACAATACAGACATTTCCCCCAGACACACCAGAAGCTCACAGATTAAAAGATTCAACAAACAAAAAACCATGCTTTGTCAGAGACTTTGATAAAGCTCTATGGTGAAATTTACAAAATCTTGAATTAATGGGGAGATAGTTGCTCTTGATGTTTTCTTAAGTTGTTTGTATTGATGTAAAGTTACAGTGGTTACTTGGAAATTAGGTATGTGTATTCTTGATTAATAATGGAAGGAGAGCTGATTATAAACATTTAAAATAAAACTACCAACACAAGAAAGTTTACCAAGGCTCGTTATACGTTAATCTTTTGAAATTTAGCCCATTTTTACCTGGACTTATCTATATTTTGGGTGTAGTTTCTTTTCCCATTCAAAGGGTACAAAAACATAAATTCTATCCATTTTATAAAAATGTATAATTACCAACATATAGTATGTAAGTTTGTCTTCAATTTGAGGCACACCTTTTTAAATGGTTTAATATGATATTTTGGATTCAGAATGAGGCTTTTGTGGGATTAGATTTTCCTTAGCTACTTCAGTAATCACCACAGTTTATTAATTCTGGTATTATAGCATTTCTAATTCTATTTGCTTTCTTATAAAGGTCCATCATTTTGCTACAGTCCAAAAGATGAGGGAATATGCTCTGCTAATGTGACTCGCTATTATTTTAATCCAAGACACAAAGCCTGTGAGGCCTTCACTTACACTGGCTGCGGAGGGAATGAAAATAACTTTGTTAACAAGAAAGATTGCAAACATGTTTGTGCAAAAGGTAGTGAGTTTTTTTTAATTCAATTTTTAGGCGACCTTTATAAATAATTCATAAACAAATTTATATTTTTATGTATCCATTTTACTAATAGCAAATTGCCATTTCTAGACTACTTCTATGTAAATAGCACTTTTGTGCAAATCAGTTTCATCAAAATGCTCATACTGGCTGGCTACAGTAGACAGTAGCTGTATCTTTGTATTTTAAAAGTAGAATTTTATTCAGTATATAATGAGTTTAGCCAACTTTACAATCACTAAAAATAAGATGAGGTGAGCTTATAAGCATATTGGAAATGGTGCTTTAGTGAGCCTACAAACTGGAGACATATGATTTTGATTATTATTTTGTTGATTTTAGCCTTGAAGAAGGAAAAGAATAAGAAGATGCCAAGGCTGCTTTTTGCCAGTAGAAGGCTGAAAATTCAGAAGAAGCAATTTTAAGCAATTTTTGTATGTCATCTTGTGAATGCTTATTTGTCTTTATAGTTATATGTGAAGAGTAATATGGTAACATGAGGAGACAAATCATTAGAGATTTATTCACCAGTTTTTATTGATAAAAGTCACTTTTTTGTGTACTTCTTATACATAACTAGCTGCTATTCAAATGTGAATCTATCCTTTTTTAATTCACTATTCAACCATTTATGAGATTAAATTCTTGCCGTACATAAGATTTAAAAGCAAATATGACGCACCCAGGTCTTGCTTGGGGTTGCTATTCCTGATTTCTGAATATGATAGTAACTGAAATAGGGTAAGGTAATATAATCGTGTGCTTTTAACATATCTGAGCATAAAAAGAACTAGCAAGTATTTCATTTTGCATTTAAAAGTTGGATTATATTTTAAGCCCAAAAAGACAAAGTCGCAAGTTTACTAACACTTTAAAAAATATTGCAAGTGTTATTATGTAGACATTACTAACAACACTTTGATTTTATTATTAGATTGCAGTGTGATGAATCAATAAGGGGGTTTATTTAAAAGATAACCTTTTTGACTGAATTAAAAAGCTAGTCAATTTATTAAAATCAGAAATGTTCTCCTCTGGGGCAGGGGAGATATGTATCTCTTTCTATCTCTTTATTTTTCTCAATCTATTCTACTCACATATATATGTTTTTGTATACATATTGATAAATGGTTTTCAAAAGTTTTTCTGTTGTTACATTATTTCCTAAGACATAGTGAATTGGAGACCACTAAAGTTATTAAAGCTTTTGTACTATTTAAGGTGTTTATTTATATGTATATTATATCAGAAATCATGCATGAATAAATTAAACTGCACCAATAAATTATTCTTGATTAAATATGGTCATTGCAACAAAAGTTTTTTCTGTAATATTTTTCAAAATTCTTACATTTTTTCACAAGTTTAACATGTTTAAAAGTATGACACTTATTTAGCAAAATTTCAAATATATTTGACCTTTGTTTGAACAATCCCTCATTTAAAAATCTATCCCAATGTTATTTTGACAAATAGTTATATGTCTAAAGACATTGACAGATGCTGAAAACTGGAAACAAATCAGATGCTCATCAACAGGGGATTGGTCAAAGATATTATGGGTGAGGAATGAGCAGAATATCTATCTATGGATATCGACTGACCCTAGAATACATTTTTAAAAACAGGGCCTATGAATAAACACACACACAAACATCACAGAACATATAAAGATATTAAAAATGGTTACCTATAGTGGGAGGGAAGGAAAAGAAGAGTGTACAGGCATGGAGATAAAAATTAAGTGAATGTACCTTGTTCTATAGTTTTGATCTTGGACCATGTTAATATTTTACATAATTAAAAACCAAGATTAAATCAAAAAGAAAAAGCAATTCCTTTAAGCATTGAAAATAAACCAAAGCAATTGAACCCAATTGAATATCAAATAGTGGCATAACTACATAAAGGATATATAATTATTTTCAGTGACTTTCAAAATTAGTATTTTGGCAATAGATCTTTGAGGTATTTAGTCTAAGGGTCAAAAAAATTCCGAAGAAATTTGAAAATGCATTTAATAGTCTTATTACTATTAGTAATATCAGTGTTGTTATTTTAAACCAATTATATATAGAATACTATGTTATGCTATATGTTATATAGCAAAACATAAGTTTTTACATTTTTTAAGAAGTCAAGATTTTCAGTGTTAAGAGAAACTGAGATGCAAGCATAAAATTAAATTAAAAAATAAAGAAATTAAATAAATTAAAAGACTTAAATTGGAATTAGAAATATTAGCATAAACTCATCATTGATTTACTTTATCAAAAAATAATATGTATTTCCTGTTTTCCATTGAAATGTCCTTGAAGCAATGATGACTCAGTGGCAATAAGTACACCTCCCATCCAGATTATGGTCTCTCAATACTATTTTTCACTAAAGTGAACCAGGGCTCTTAGGAGAAATCTCTGAATCCAGCTCTGGGGCAGGAAATATGTTAAGGTGAACCTGGGCCATCTTATTCTAGAAATCAAAGAAGTTATCAAAGACTAATGAATCATATCACTAAAACAGGAGAATAACTTTAAGGAATTCCTACTGACCCAAAATGAGACAATATGAGCATCAAAAGAAATAGTGACTACAACATATAATAAATACATAAATATATAAAAATCTGAGTTCATAATTATACACACACACACTTCCTTGGTGACTTTTGGAGGGCATTATCTCATTTTTTAGAAAACTGATGAATTAACAGGAAGAGTGAAGTGTTTGTCCTTTTTTTAGTATATTCTTTAAAAACTATCATAGGGGGAAAAAGTATATGAAAGTTATTCATAGAATTCCACCTAATTTATGCTATGCGATACATGAAAATGTTAAAAAATGCCCCTAATGAAAGCATGGCTAGGTAATGGTAGGTAATAGATACTGAAACTATTGTATGAAAGGTTTTTGGGGAACACTGTCATGGGGAATCAGGCTAATGTCTCCCAACCCATAAATAATTTTAACACCCATAAAAGTTTGGCTGTAGACATTATTTGCTTCCTGATATGATGCAATAAGAACCACAGTCCCTCCATGAAGTATTATTGGAGAAAAAAATGTGAATCTGAAATTAGTCAAGCCTCTAGATCTTACTATCATATTGTCAGATTACAGAGAAGTATTGGTGACACAGGAGCAAGTGATAAGAAACCAAGGGAAGTGTACTGCCAACTCCACAATATTGGACACTCTGCAGGACAAATACCTGGTTTCTCTAAACAAGTCAATACAATTTTTAAAAAGGGTGGAGGCAAGATAATGCTTTGTATACACAAAATATGAGACCTGACAAAAAGAAGCATGCCATTAAAAGGTTTTTTGTTGAGTAAGGCCTGTATTTATTACTTTTTCAGTGGTTTTTGAAAATAATTATAGCAGAAAGATCTTGTGTGTGCTCTGGGTTGCAGAGTGAGTGATGGAGAGCCTTTGGGAATTCTGGGGCCTCCTAGAATCTCCAAAGGGAAGCTGGATTTGGTATTTGCTATTTTTATCTCCCACCAGCCAAAGCCCTCATGGGGTCATAGACCCAACTCAGCCTATGTTTGCACCTCTCTGTCGAGCATGGGGAAGAAGTAGATCCATCTGATACAAATGTTCTAATGGCCCTAAACTCTGCCATTTTAGTTTAATAGGACATTCCACAGTCAAAGGGAAACTCCTTCTTACCACCGTCAGTGTGAAGGCAAGTCACAATTGTGGTTTCACCAGACAGCCTAATTCAAAGGAATGTCTCATTCTGTGACACAGAAAGACAAACTAGGAATGGGATGGCTTTTAATAAGACAATCTTTTATTTTAAAAAATTACTCTGAACAGCCACTCATGTTTCCTCTGTACACACACATTGTCACATCAGTCAACCACAGAAACTGCAATGGAGCTTCCCAGATTGCTTGGCTCACAGTTCCCCAAGTATACATGCCATTTCCACCAACAGTCTTGTAGACCTTAGCTAAAAATCTAATCTAGTAAGGGAATATTCTTTAGAGAGTCTGTACCTATATTATAATAGTAGTTGTAGAAATTCCAGCTGTCGTTCATCCAGAGATAAATTTCTAGACTGTCCCGAAGGAGTGGACCTAAAAATATCAACATCAGAAGGATGTCTATTAATCTTCATCAGCCCTCTTATGACTTGGTGGACTCCATCATAGTGGCAGGAACTTGTCTTTACAAGCTTCATGTTTCTAGTAAAATATAGGCTCTGTGATAAAGATAAGGAAACGTGGAAAAGCGCAGAGTTGTGGCTTTAAAATATCTTTGTCTAAATATAGTTATAAACTTAGAGATGGAAGCAAGCAATGTGGGAATCAAAATCATCCAAAATTATTTCTTCTCCTTTCGCCCACATATTCAATTGGTCACCAAGTGCATCTATTTAAATCTATTCCAATCATCCTTATCTTATGCCCGAAAAATTGAAACACTCCCCAATTTCCCTTCCTGTCTATGTCTGTTCCACATCTAGTCATTCATACTGATTCCAGGGTAATTTTTCTGGAAAAAAATTATGATCATGTTACTCCTTTGCTTAAACTCTTCTATGGTGGCCTGTGGAATTTTCACGTTATTGTCCAAGCCACTAGCATGTCATTTAAGACTACTCATGAGTGAACCATGACATTCCCTTCCAGATTCAGCTCTCATTTTCTGTAACCTATAATTCAGTTGCACTGAATTATCTGCAGTTTCCAAAGCATGTCATACTGCTTTACTTTCTGTAATGTGGTTCTCAAATTTTGCACATGAGAACCATCTTTGGAGCCAGGTACACAGCAGGCACTTATGCCCTGTGCCCAGGGATTTTGAGTTAGTGGGTTTGAGTTGGCACTCAAAGATGCACATTATAAAAAATGACTCCAGATAATTAGGATATACATTTACATCACAGTTTAAGGAACACTGGTTTTAAGCCTTATTATAAGTTTTTTTTTTTCCTTAAAGAATATCCTTCCCTCCATGCAACTATTCGGCAAGTTTAATCTTGTGCTTATTGGTAAAGTGTTCCTTGCCCTACCTCAACCAGGTTTAATTATTTATCCTAAGGTCTTGGCTAAACCTAGTGCAACTTCATAGTTTACTAATACAGTGTTTAATTATTTTCCTAGAAGTTTGGTTGTTAGGGAATCTAAGTTTTTCATGTAAAATTACCAGGTTAGTTTTTTTATTTTTAAATGTTATATTACCTGTATATTATATAGAAAATAAAATAAAAAAACATGTAAATAAAAATAAAAACAATCCAAAATTTCACCAAGTGACTAATAACCACATTTCTATTCTTTTTGAGGTGGAAATAACTTAGTAAAGAGGTATAAGCATTTTAAAGCTCTGAGTATATACTGACAAATTGCATTACAAAGTTACATCAATTTATCCCCATTTAAGAATGTATGAAAATGCCCAACACAATGGTATTAAATAGAAAATAAATCACTTGTTAAAAAGATATTTTGTCTTTTATAATTATTTTAATTGGTGTTTCCAAGATTATTACAAAGTTTGAACTTTTTATTGTGCAAATTTAAAGTGTACAACATGAGGTTTTGATATATATATGATACACATAG